AAGTGTGTTGGGAAATACATGCAAGTATGGGTATTTAACAAGCACCCAGATCTCTGCCACAAGAGGGCAGAGTTTCCTCATTTAATCATTTCGTGCTCATCTACGGGTTTAACATCCACGTAGTGTATGTGTGATTCATCCAGGGTTTATTTTGACATCATATTATCAGTTACAATTACTTATGCTCATAGTTTTGTATGACGTCATTATTTTCAGTAGCAGCATCATAACTACCACCATAATGAGCACTTAATTTGATTCTTATTTGTAGGCCAGTCTTGGTGCTAAATACTTCACTTGTGTTAGTCCTTTTAATTGTCAAGTGCTTGAGGTAGATACTAATATTGTCATTTTCATTACAGATATTAAAAACTGAGGTTCAAACAGGTTAAGCCACTTGTGTCTGCTTCTAGAATTGGTGTTCTTAGCCACTATTACATATGCCCTTAGTATTAGTTTCCAGGGAAACTAATCAGAGATAGAGTAGCTACAGATAACAGTTTATTCTCTCATACATCAGGAGACTAGAAAACCAAAATGAAGCATTAACAGGTTTAATTCCTCTCAGAGACTCTGAGGAAGAATCTGCGCAATGCAGTGTAGCTTTCAGCTTCCAGTGGTTGCCATCAATGCTGGACTTCCCCAATTGTAGACTCGTCACTCTGGTCTCTGCCCTCATCCTCACATCACCTTTCTCTTTGTGCGTTACTTTGTTTTTTCTTCTCTGTTGTAAGCATGTCAGTCATTAGATTTGGGGCTCTTGCTAAGCCAGTATGTTCTTATTTGATCTTTACATTGATTATATCTTTGTTTCTTTCTATTTATTTGTTATTTATGTTTTGTTTGAGACAGGGTCTTACAATGCAGCACTGACTGACCTGGAACTCTCCTATGTAGACCAGGGTGAACTCACAGAGATCCACTTGCCTGTGCTGCCCAAGTGCTGGGATTAAAGGGATGAGCCACCATACCCTGCCTTGATTATATCTTTAAACACTGTCTTTTAAAATAAGTCAACTTCTGGAATTTTGGGTAGGCATGAATTCTAGGGGACACTATTGAACCCATTGTAACTCCCTGTAGTATATTCACTCCAAGACCTTCTGTGTTCCTTCATGAACATAATCTTTGAAAGATACACAATATTCCACTTCTCTATCTGTGGATAGTTAGGTTGGAGAGGGCCACAAGTAGCACTTGCAAGATGAAAAGCTCATCAAAGCAGCATCTTTTCTGGGTTGACCAAGACTTCTGGATCATTGAGGTGGGTAGGGGCCCAGTGACCCCTTATCAGTTACCCCTGTACAGAGCCCCATTTATACAGTTTATAATTAGCCAGAGCTGAGAATGGAACCAGGGGTAGGCTTGCTACTGTTTTAGAATATTTAAGAGCTTTTCTTTTCTACGTCAGTGTAGGAAATACAAGCCATGAATGAAAAGAGTCTTTAGAGATCTTTTTCTTTCAATGTTTTATTTATATAGCAGGAAAATTAAACTTAATATTCTATATTATGCTGCTTATTTATAAATGGAACCAGGGGTAGGCTTGCTACTGTTTTAGAATATTTAAGAGCTTTTCTATGTCACTGTAGGAAATACAAATCATGAATGAAAAGAGTCTTTAGAGATCTTTTTCCTTCAATGTTTTATTTATATAGCAGGAAAATTAAACTTTAATATTCTATATTATGTTGCTTATTTATAAATTCAATTGAAATATTATTTTCCAATGTCTGGAATTTTATATTAAACTTTGTAGTGAAATAGCATCAGACCCTTGGTCTTCTGACTACTCACTCATTTTATTGTCTCACACTGACTTATAGAGGCCCGTGACCTGTCTTACACCTGGGTGTGACATCACTCTTATTTTTAAACTGTTCATAATCAAGGACATGTTTATCCTTTTATGTTCATATTTGAACTTCTTTTGAAGCTAAAGAATCCTTTCTTCCTCCCTCTTGAACTTTGCTTTGAAGGCTTTTTTGAACAGATGGAGGGAATTGTAATTATGGCCTTCTAAAAGTAATATGACCACCTCTCAGTATCTGTTTATTAACATTCACTATTACCATAGTACTTAGTACTTTAGATGCTCTTCCATGCATGACATTTTAAAGCACACATTTCAAAGGGCAGAGAAGGAAAATGCATCTTCTTTGTGTGCAGTTCAAATAACATCTTTAAAAATATTTTATATTATTTTAATATGAGTATATTGCCTGTATTTGTGTAACTGCACCGTGTCATCCAATGCCTGCAGAGGTCAGAAGAGGGTGTTGAATTTCCGTGGGACTGGAGTTACAGATGGTTGTCAGGTGCCATGTGGATTCTGGGAACCGAACCTGGGTCCTCTGCAAAAGCAGCCAGTGTTCTTAACCACTGAGCCATCTCTCCAGCCCCTCAAATAACATTTTTTGGGGGTCTTCTTTTGAGACAGGGTCTCCCTGTAGCCCCAGGTGTCCTGGAACTCACTATGTGGACCAGGCTGGCCTTGAATTCACAGCAATCCACCTGCCTCTGCCTCCTGGGATTAAAGACATTATTTTTTTCAAGTTTGTAGGGAAAGAGATCAATTTATTTTCTAAGCCCTAAAGTACTTGAAATAAGTTAGAAATTATATCTGTAGTTCACTCAGAAGAACTTCTTAACATTTGTCTCTCCACAGACACTAGTGTAGGTAATTGTGACTTCCTCAGTGTAGAGAACATTCCAGAGTCTGTATTCTTTGGGGCTTAACACAATGACAGTTACACCTTTGACTCTCAAGCAGTTCATGTTGGTGGAATGAACTGTATGGTGACCACTGCTCTTGGCCCATGCTTTTCTGCTCTGGGCACACTATCTACCCATTCTCTGCACACATCCTTTGACATTGGCAGCTGTTACTCTTCTACTGCTTCTTTCCAAGTTCCTACTCACCCTTAAAGACCTGCTCGGATGTCACATCCTTTCTGAAGCGCTTCGCTGGGGTGAGATGCTGCTGCTTCCTGGGTGACTGTAGGTTTGTGTCAAGTTGACACCTGAAGATCACTGTGACAGTGTGGTTTAGGGCCTTTACATCCTAGGCAAATGCTCTATCACTGAGTTATATTGCCAGTCAAAGAGTTTTTTTTTTTTTTGCCACCAGCTGAGCTTAAATCAGAATGCAAATGGAGTACACAAGCTATGTTTTGACAATGTACATTGTTTCTTAATCTGCGTAATGTATAACAATTCTGTTTTCTTGTCATTTACTTCTTGAGGCATTTTCAAGTCAGTAACAGTATAGTTATTATATAGTGCATGTTGTTTTATACACACATGGTTTGTGTGTGATGGAAGAGCTGGAAGTATGGCTTACTCTCTCATAAGAGCTGAGTGGAGGCTGCAGTTCTCAGCCCCCATAGGTGCTCCCAGTTCTCAATAATCCATGCCAGGTCCTATCATACTAACCAGAATGACTCATTTATGTAGCCTTCCCAGTGCGAGCTGTCCATCTCTAACCTACCTCCACTTTCAATCAGAACTGAGTTCTGCAAATGGATCTTGAAGTTCTAAAGAATCCCTATTATTTAAATAAATGTTTAGTTTTATGCACTATTTTACTTAGGTAGGAATGTAAACAAAAATGCCAAAAATTTTTTGGCATCAGATTGAATCTGTAAGCATTTAAAAACTCATGAATGAATCTGAAACATCATGAATCATTATCTCTCTTGAACATTCTGGCTTTTCTGCTATATTACCTTCCATTCAGCAGATGTCTGGATTAGTTAACTTTCATCTTTATTTTGATAAAATGCCCAAGAGAAACATCTTAAGGGAGGAAGGATTTATTCTGGTTCAGTTTGACAGAGTACACAGTCCATCGTGGCAGGGAAGGCACAGCAGAGTTGATGGCAACAGAAGCTTGTGGCTGGACCACCTCACATCTCAGCAGATTATGCTCAGGCCAGAAGCAAAGCTGGCCTGTAGCCCTCATCCCTGGCCCTGTAGCCTTACATCTGCTAGCTAGGCCCCATGTCCAAACAATGTCATAACCTCCCATAACTGTGCTATCAGTTAGGGACTAGGTTTTTAAACACATGACTCCATGGGAAAAACATCACATCCAAACCATAATCATATCTTTTTCACCTATGTGAAGGTTTGATTTCTATAAAGGCTACAAGACCCAGCCTTGTGCCCTAGTCTTCTATGACATGTGGGCCTTCGTTTTGCTTCTTTGATTCACCTATGCAGATGGAGGAAAATAGCCTATTAGTGTTGTGAAATAAAGTGACAGATGTGTGATTAGTTTGTAAACTGTATGGCTGTATATTTAAGCAAAGTATTTCTATGCATAAGGACATACTGAATTATGGATGGCATCTTCTTTTGGGCCTTCATGTGCTCACTCTTCTGTTTTTATCTCTATTATGCCCTTAAAATTAATTGAACTCACTTGTGGTATGCAAATCCTTTAGGCCCATTTCTTTATACCATTTGTCATACCAAATTAAGGCCATTTGTTCACATCTCTGTCTGTGAGATTCTGAGAAAAGCCTCCATTTATTTCATGCTTGGCATACACTAACCCTCAGTAAATGTCTATTGAATTGGATTGGATTGATTTGAGTAATTATTATCTTTGTCCCTGTCTTGAAGGACCGAGTCTACGTTTATGTAATTATTTAAGCATATTATCTAGTAACTGGATAGCCTTGGCACTTGTTAAAAGCTTATGCGAAGATAATGATGATGTAATATTCATGAAAATGGAGTTCTGTATTTCTAAAAGTAAATGATCAGATTTCTTGAGTACATTATTTGTAATTGTAAGTGTTCAACAGGGAAAGAATCTAAATATAGCATGCTTAAAAATTAAAATACTTACATGTGCCTCGTTGCACAGTATGTAGTGCACTGGTCTCATAAAATACTTTTTCCTATAGTAGAAGACTTAGGGCCTGGTCTTCACCTTTGGCCCCAGTCCTCTAGCACTCTTGATTAACTGGGAGCTTCTTGCTCTTTTGTAGCTGGTTTGCCATCCATCCCGTCAGCATGAACAACAGCAACCACCTTGTAAACAGCGACAACATGGGTTATGCAGCGTACCTTTTTGAGCAAGAGAAGAACAGAGGGCATCTACCTGGCCAGGTGAGGATGTGTGTCACTGAAGTCTCTGTCCTGATTCAGTGAGTGTTTGAACAGCAAACTGAAATTTCAAGAATAAAATGTTCTCTTCTCATAGATCTCACGAATGTACTTGGAAAGAAAGAATTCACTGTTCTCCCCAGTCAGGAAAGAAACATTTAAAGCGATAAAGAAAACATGTGCTCTCTGTGGCAGATAATCTTTATATTGATGTTTTTATAAATTTACAACCAGTTGTATAAAGAAGATGGAGTCTATGTTTTTGTAACATGAAGTAGTTTGATCAAGTTGACAGTATGATAAAGTATGTTGATGCTAACTATTTTTCAGTGATATAAAAGGGTTTTGCACCTTCTTAACGCTATAAACTCTCAGTGGGGACAAATAATCCTTTTTTACTGTTCAGATTTTTCTAATGCTAGCACCCCTTCCGAGGACCTTGTTCACTCTGTCTCTCTTTGTCCTCTCTTTCTCTCTCCTTTCTTTTTAAAAAATAAACCCTAAGTTAGAGATAGTCCAAACGCAGTAGACTTATGACTTTGAAACTTCTTAGTGATGAGATCAGAAACCAGATCAGAAAACCAATTGCTGTACTTCAGGACCTCTTCAGCTGTAGGTAACTAATGACTACAGACAGATAAGTGGGGATAGATCCTGCTGCGCTTGGCCACTGTAAGCACTGGATGCAGATAAAACATGGGATGAACAAGAGCCCCAGGCCTTGCATAGAATCATTGTTCTGTTATAATGAAGTCTGATCTTTCAGCTCCTTTGTTGACAAAACTCTATTTTCTTTTAGCTTACATCTAATTTCCCTTTCTTTCCCTCCCTCCCTCCCTCCCTCCTTCCTTCTTTTTTCTGTTCTTCCTCTTTTTCTTGTTTTAGAGAAGCTCTTGCTATATAGCCCAGGCTGACCTTAAGTTTATGATCCTCCTGCCTTAGCTTCTAGAGTTTTGGGATTATAGGTGTGTATCACCATGCATTTTAGGGGAAAGAGGTTCTTATTTATGCTTGCAAAAGCCCAGCGTCCATGTCTTTCTCTAAGAAAATTGGAGATATTTGTGCTGACGTGGTAGACCAGGTGGGTCCAGGTCGATGACTGACCCTGCTCTAATCAGTTGAAGGAGAGAGGAGCTCACAGAGGGTGAGTCCAGGTGATGAGTGTCAAGAGTAGATTATTTTGTAACAGGAAGGTCTTCATGTGCTCTTCTCTTTTCAAGCTGTTTCTAAAGGGCAAATGGATCTCTGGGCTCCGGATAAAGCACCAGAGACTAGATGGATGGCTCCATAGTTTGAATTTGTTGTGCTCTGCATTTCTTTTCAAATTGCTTTTGTTAGAGGTATACATCTGTTAGAAGGTATACTCTTTCTTGAAAAGGTTTTGTGGATAATTGGAATATTTTTAGTAATAATTTGAAAGCTAACTGCTAACATAAGCCTTTACAGAAATAGAAATTGTTCTCAGAATATTCCACATCTTTTTATTGTCTGCACTTGATTTTGTAAAGTTTTCCTGCAGGCTGGGGAGATAGTTCAGTGAGTCCAGTGCTTCCCGCACAAGCATGAGGACCTGAGATTGATCCTCAGCACTCATGTAAGAAGCAGGACATGGTGATCTGAGCTTGTGATCTCAGTGCTGGGGAGCCAATGACAGGAGGATCCCTGGACTTCACTGACCAGGAAAGCCTCCTCAGTGAGCTTGAGGTCCCAGGGAGAGGTTTTCTCTAACAAACAAACCCACCAAGGGGGATGGCTTCTGAGGAATGATACTTGAAGTTGGTCTTAGTACCCACATTTATATACACACATGTGTACCCACAGAGAGAAATTTAACAAGTGGATGGGATGTTTGTGCTTTTAATAGAAGTCATCATTAAAGAAGAAATAAAAGTTAATGTTGGATTTATTTTGGCAGGGACCATTTGTCGCAGGCTTTGCTTCATCCAACCTAGGAGATGTGTCTCCCAACATTCTTGGCCCACATTGCATCAACACAGGAGAGTCTTGCGACAACGCCCACAGCACTTGTCCAGTTGGTGGGGTAGGTAATAACAGCACACGAAGCCTTTGTTTTAGCATGTCATGTTCATTTCATGTCTGACTACTCATCAATAACTTACAAATATGTCATCCTCAAGTACACATTCGCTTGCTTGCTGTTCTCTGAAGCACCTATTCAACTCTCTAAATTTTGACTGGGTTAAATTACAGTTTTCCATTTGATTGTCATGCAAAATAGAGATTATGCATGCCTCCCCAAATCTGGGCAGTCTAAAGACAGGGTCTCTCTGTAGCTCCAGCTGGCTTGGAACTCACTATGTAGACCAGGCTGGCCTCGAACTCACAGAGATCCGTTTACCTCTGCCTCCTGAGTGCTGGGACTAAAGGCATGCGCTACCATGGCTGGTGGAATATCTGAATTTCTAAGTTCATACTCCAAACTGACATTTCTCACAGTTTATAGGTCTGTAGTTTTAAAAAATACATCAGATTTTTCTTTGTCTCTGTCTTAAAAATAAAAACTATCTTTCTATAAAACTTCAGATAACATTGATACAGAGTAGTAAACATTGAACATCACTGCCCACTCTCCTCTGTCCTCAGACGTTGTTACTCTCTTCTTTTTCTGTCTTAATCCATCCGTTCGTAAGTGAAATTTTATGACTTATTTAGAATTCTAGGACTTTAGTTTTGCACATAATTCCCCTTAGAAATCTTTCTGTGTCTGTCTCCAGACTTCACTGTTTACCTTCACTGTTTACCTGCTTTCCCAGAATTCATTTAGGTCTGTTTTCAGCTTTGACACAGCAGCAGACACTGAATTTTTGGTTCTTATACTTTGTGGGGTGTCTATTACACTTCTATTTTTATCACATTGTTTCTACTCTAGCCAGCCCTTCCCAAGGAGCAGCATGGTGTTAATAGTTGTAACTATTATACACTCTTTTTGTAAAGCACAAAATTTCCCTTTTTTTAACTTGTAAAATTCCACACATTACTAATTTGCAATACATTAAAAGATTACTTGTTAAATTCCAAAATTCATGAAATTAGTTAAATAAGTTATACTCACTTGTAGCCAAGCATGGCAGCACACACCTTTAATCCCAGCACTTGGGAGGCAGAGGCAGGCAGACCTCTGTGAGACTGAGGCTATCCTGGTCTACATAGCAAGTTCCAGGCCAACTGAAGTTACAGGGGACTCCTGTAAAAAGTCATATATATATACTCACTTGTAATAGAATGCTATGCAGTTAAGTATCAAGTTTTAGATACTGGATAATGTAGGAAAAAACCTATAATACACAATGTGGTGTAAGAAATTTTGAACTCAATATTATGTATTTACGGTCATGTTTTAAAACAAATGTTATAGTAAAATAAAAAACGAAGACTGTTGAATTGTTAATGATTTTTCTTTTGGCACTGTTAAGGGCATTTTTATTGTCCTACTCATGCATTTTCATATTTTTCTACCACGAACATACTTTACTTTTATAATTATAAAAAAGACAAGAAGACTCCTATTCTTGTCTACTTCTGTCACTTTCCGGTTATACTTGGGCTTCGCTTCCCCCACTCCAAGCAGTCTTACAGTTAGTCTTACAGACAGTCTTACACTTGACAGTCCTTTCATCTCTGCATCACACACAGATTTGCCATGTAACGTACATGGACGCACACTGCCATACTCTTCTGTGATCTGTTTCCCTATTTCCAACAAATATTCTCTGAAACACTGCTAAGATAACTTTATTATATTCAGTTTTTACATATTTTATTTATTTTCATGTTATGTGTATGAATGCATTGCCTGCATGTATGCAAGTGCATACATCATGCAATGCCTGAGGAGGTCAGAAGAGGGAACTGGACCTGGAATTATGGATGGTTGTTAGCTGCCATGTGGGTGCTGGGAATTGAACCTGGGTCTTCTGCAAGAGCAGTCAGTGCTCTTAACTGCTGAGCCATCTCCAGTCCCTATTATATTCAGTTTTAAGCACCATTATTTATTTAACCAGCCCTCTGGGTCTGAGTATTTCTTTTCTTCCCTCCTTTCTTCATCTATGTAAGCACACTGTGCTCTCTGTCCTCAGCAGACTCATTTCCACAGGCAAGTGACTCTCAGCTCAGGATACACTCTTAGAAGTATGCTTGCTATTAAAGACAAAATATACCCAACATGCTACACATGGCCTGCCTGCCGCTCCGTGGCTCCTCCACCCACCCATGTGTGAGTGATTATCCTCCCAACCGTTATCTAAGCCATGCATATCACTCTGACTCTTTGCCAGAACAATATGCAAAGAATTATATCTTTCCAGTTTAAATTTCCATTGAATTGTTCATGAAGTTACACATATTTTTCATGTTGAATGGCTGTTTACAGGTGCATGAGTGTGTGTGTGTGTGTGTGTGTTAATTATCTATTCTATCTGTAATTCATTGTGTTTCTGCTAGGATAGTTTTTAAGTGCAAATTAGAGAAACCCTAACTCAGCTTCATCAATCAAAGCATTAATGAGAACATTCTTTTCTTTTTAAAACTGAGATCTAGCTCTTGGGCTAGTGTTGCAGTAGTTTATTGCATCCATATTATGACAGTAGAATGAATGGCAGATCCACCTCCTCAAACATATACTGTTTTTAGATGTTGGAAATTTTGAATTCTTCTAGTTATTTTTAAACATAGCATAGAGTATTGCAACAATTATTATCCTACTATGCTATAGATACCTGGAAGGAATTCCTCTTGCCTAGCATTGTGCTCATGCCCTTATCTAGCTTCTCTCAGACCTTCTTCCTCTCTGCCCTTCCCAGCCTCTAGTAACCACTATTCCTCCCTGTTCCTGTGTGAGACCAATTTTTTAGTTTTTGAAAGTGAATGAGAACAGGTGATGCTTGTTTTTGTGAGTCTGGTTTATTTCACTTAGCAGAAAACTCCCAATTCTATCCATATTGCTGCAAGTGATAGGATTTCACTTCCTTTTATAGCCGAGGACTATGCCATCGTGTATCTACACCACACTTTCCTTACCAGTCATCCACGGATGGGCAGTGTGGTTGAATAGTGCTGTAACATGCAGAGGGGTGTAGGAAACAAGTATAATGAATTCACCTCCTTTTGACAGATAAGGGGTGTTTTCCTTTCTGGAAAAATTTAAGTTCCTAATATATTAAAGCCTGACTATATTTGTCATAAACCATACAAAAAACTTCCCACTTATCAACTGTCCTTTAGGTTTACTTATATTTCCCCTCTCATACAGACATTTAAAATGTATAAGCTGACAAGTTTGCTAAGCCTAGTCATCATTTTTAATTGTAATTTTTCTTTATTTTTAAGAATATCTTACATGCATAAAATAATAATCATATCTGCTCCATTTCCCTCCTCCAATGCCCTCCATATTTACTCCAAACATCTTCCTTCCAATTTCATGTCTTTTTTTTTTTTTTGATAACCTATCAAGTCCAGTTCGTGCTGCCTATACATGAAGGGTGTGGAGGCATCCCCTGGAGCACAGGAAGCCTATCAATAGGAGCACCCTCACAAGGGATGTACGGACTGGAGAGATGGCTCAGCCAATAAAAGCACTTGCTGCTCTTGCAGATGACCAGAATTCAGTTCCCAGAGCCCACAAAGCAGCTGACAACTGCCTGTAACTCCAGTTCCAGGGTATCTGATGCCTTCTTTTGGCCTTTGTAGGTATTGCATGCATGTAATGCACTTACATTCAGGCCAAACACACATACACATAAAATAAAAATAAACAACTTTAAAAAAAGAATGATTCTCCATCCCCTAGCAGCTATCGATTACCAAAAGCTCTTCATTAAGAGATGGGGCCTGGAGAGCACTTCCCCACGTATGCTGGAATTTTGGCTGACTTGATCTTGAATGCATAGCATCTGTGGTTATCTGTACAAGACAGGCATAAGATCTTTATCACTTTTGATGAGTCATTTATACTTTCTGAGTATAACATATCTCCATCTATATCTTTTTTAGAATGTTCTTGATAGTATTTATTATATTTAATTATTTGATCAATCTCAAAGTTTTCTAAGAAACACGGTGCAGAACCAGAGTTGTTCATCTTTTCCCCAGAAAGATAACTAATTGTGCTAATGTAATTTGAAATATTTTATTTTTTTGTTATTTTTTAAAAATCTATGTGTATGAGTGTATTGCTTGCATGTATGTAAGTCCACCCATTTTGTACAATGCCCACGGAAGTCAGAAGAGGGCAATGGATCTCCTGGGACTGGAGTTATGGATGATTGTTATCTGCCATGTGGGTGCTGGGAACTGAACTGGGGTCCTCTTCAAGAGCAGTCAGTGCTCTTAACTGCTGAACCGTCTCTCCAGCCCCTGTTCTGATGTGATTTAAACTGAGTTTCAGTGGAAGACAATCATGAATAAAGTCACCAAGGAGGAGGAAGCAAGTCCAAGGGGGTACGTGCCAGGGTAAGGCCCGGCTCCCAGTCCTAGCTCAGAGATTCCCTCCTTGGATTATGATAACAAGTCTTGCAAACCACTTGAAACTCAATTTCCTAACTTAAAAAGGAAGTTATTGGAACAGATCTGATTAAAAAACATTCACCACTCCAAATGCATGTATGATTATGTTTTTCCTAGTCTGTAAATTGAGAAAATACGTGAGAAGAAACGCTGGAACGTGGCTTAGCAATGTATATGCTTGGATTCCATTGTAATTTTCCATCCCTTAAAACCATTATTCATTGCACTAAGGATCACATTGTCTCATTTTGCTCCAGCCTAGCATGTGTGAAGCTAGAGGACCTGGACAAGACATGCTTGAGAGCACGCAAATGATAGGACGGACCATCTACCGCAGAGCCAAGGTAGGCATGAGCCCAGTGCTCTGTCATAATTTAAAGTTGTTTTTTCAAACCCAGAGATATTATTCATTAGGAAGTTGATAATTTCAGGGAAGACAGCAAGATCTGAGGCTGGCCAGGAAGTTTGGAAGTCTGGAAGACGTGGGCTTAGAAGGCTGCCCTTGGGAGCCACACAGGACTCTGATCTGGTCAGACTTCCTAGTGCATTGAAAGCCAAGCCGACAGGAAAACGTTCTATTTTAGCATGTTTAGAAAACCATAGTGCTTGTTTCAGACAGATAGAGTCAGAAAAATTGTTAATGTGGCACCTCAAAGACCAGTCTGATCTAGATTGCCAGAAATCTCTCAGGTCATTGCCTGGCTAAAGTCACCTGACCACCTGAACTTGGCCCTTAATGACAAAGCTGAACAGTTGAACAGTTCTGGCACTGTGAGGTCCCATTTGTTCCTGTGTGTCTATGAAAGGGCAAAGGTCACTCAGCTTTTCTTTTGAAAAAGACTGTGCTGAGGTCAAATCTGTTTGCAATGAGAGTAATGTGAATTAGTCCACCTGATTTCCCCTCCTACAACTTTTGAGATTGTTGTGTGTGGTATATTCCCGTGTATATGTGCTTTTGTATGTAATGATGCTTACATATGTGTGTGTTGTGGGTACATGTGCACATGTCTATGCATATGTGTGGAGGCCAGAAGCTGATATTGGATGTCTTCCTCAATTGCTCTGCACATTAGTTTGGAGACACAGTCTCTCACTGGAGTGCACCAACTAGCTAGATTGACTGGTTAGCAAGCCCCGGGGACCGTCCTATCTTTGCCTCCTCCATGCTGGGTTATAGTTGTGCACCACAGTGCCTGGTTTTAACATGGGTGCTGGGGCTAGAACTCAGGTCTTCACGTTTATACGGCAGTCACTATAGGGACTGAGCCATCTCCGTAGCACTCTGTTAAATTGTATCTCCCATTTTGCCCCCATTTTTGTATCCACTTTTACAGATATTTCTGAGGGAAAAGATTAAGAATGACTTCCAAATAACATGTCCTGATAATTAGATCCCTTCCTTTTCACAGTTTACTCATTGTATGTGTGCATGCACACCCACATGCCTGTGTTTAAGTAAATAGTTCATTCTGAATTCTAAAATGTTTCAGAAACAATTAAGAACAACAAAATTCCTTTAAAAGCATCAGACATAAAATCCTCAGCCTCAGCAGCCCAATTTCTGTAGTTTCTTTTTATTTACTGTGGTATTATCAGGGGGTTATTCTAAATTGACAGATTCTATTTAAGGTGTGCCTATGACACACTTCGGTGTCTGAAATTTTTCTACTCTCCTTGGCCTGGGAGCAGAGAGATCTTCCCCACATTCTGGATGTAAGGCAAATGTGATGAGGAGACGCAGGTGTCTGTGTCACTTCTCAGGTCATGTCAGTGTGTGTTGCTATAAATGAAAGATTCTCATCCTTTTTATGAATGAGCAGCTATGTGTTTCCCACAGAGTGCTGGGGTCCAGCCACTATCCTGAGAGCTCATGGTGGCTGTTGTAAATGGTCTAGGTGTCAGGCCAGCAGACTTGTGCTGAAGTAAAATTTGCCTGTATTGTATGATATGGATGAATAAGCACAAATATATTGACAATATATTAAGCTTACATTTCCCATAAGATTGAAAAAAAAATCAGTGGACCTTATAAAGAACAAAACACCAAAGGGTGGCTGAGTGATGAGGAGCCTTGAAGTCTTTGAGCCACTGCACAGTGCTGTCCTTGGAGGAACTCAAGGTTCCTGAGAGAGACACTTCGGAGCAAGTCTACCTGCTGACCTCTTGACATTCTGGCAAAATATGCTTTGGCCTCTCCTGCTTTTCTTCAATTTTCTTGTCTAGCTTTCATGTGAAGTTGGGGGCTTATGTGTCACATCCTGAGTTGTCTTAATTTCATATTTGGGAGGAGGGGACACAGGTCAGACTCCTGGTGGTTTCAAGCTGGGGGGCAGAATCTAGGGCTTGGTTGAGAGAGCCACATGGGTGACCGCTGCTTTTGAGAATCCAGGAGAGCAAACACATCTCATTGCTGAAGGTGGTGCATCCCAATCCGTGCTTTCTGGGTGCCAGTGTCCACTTCACTTCCGCTCTTTTCCTTGGAACAGTCAACTTGCGTGTGTTTTCTAGGAGCTGTATGACTCTGCCTCTCAGGAGATAACTGGACCAGTGGCTGCAGCACACCAGTGGGTGAACATGACAGATGTGACGGTCCAGCTCAATGCTACGCACACAGTGAGTGTGGCTAAGGACGCTGACTTTGCTACATGGGCAGAGCGTGGCGGTAGCACATTATTACCTGCAGCCTAACTTCTATTTCTTTCTCTGTTTTTGTTTTATAATCTTTCCTTCAGGTAAAAACATGTAAACCGGCCCTGGGCTACAGTTTTGCAGCTGGCACGATTGATGGAGTTTCAGGCCTCAATATTACACAGGGTGAGATGGAGGAGGATGAAATGAGGGCTTCCAGGTTCGGAGGCTTCAGGCTTCTGGTCCTTAATGAGGTTTAACTGTGGTCAATGTGTTTATGACGTCCATTCCTAATCAGGAGGCTTCAGGATTGCCCGGTTTGGATGTGACAGCCTGGATTCCCCAAGAATGGGTAAAATGTAATCAGAGACTAATTGTCTTGGCATTTCAGTATATTGATGAACCTAGTTAATTCATTCAGTTAATTTATTTTAAAATTGTTGTAACATGGGCTGGAGAGATGGCTCAGTGGTTGAGAACGCTGACTGTTCTTGCAGAAGACCTGGGTTCGAATCCCAGAACCCACATGGCAGCTAACAACTGTCCTTAACTCCAGTTCCAGGGATCCGACAGTCTCTTCTGTCCTCTGAGGGCATTGCACAACATAGGTGCACTTACCTACATGTGGGCAATACACTCATACACATAAAAATAAAAAATAAAATCTTTAAAATTATAATAATTGCATATATTTATGGGGTACAGTATGATATTTTGGCACGTTTATATTTTATGTAATGATCAATCTAGGATATTGAGGGTATCGGTTGGCACATGCCGAGCGTGCACACGTGTGTGCTAATTTGTTCATTTATGTGTGTTATGTGTATTCTTATTTGTGTATGTATGCTCGTGTGTGTGTGTGTGTGTGTGTGCATGGCATACATGTGGAGATCAGAGGGATTGGTTCTTAGGTGCTTTACGCCTTTTCTTTGAGACAGGGTTTCTCATTGGCTGGAACTTTTCCTGGGACATCTGTTATCTTCAGCATTCGTGATTTCTTTGTGATGGCAGTGTTCAAAGTTCTTTTGTGTGACTATTTTGAGTTGCCCGATATTGTTGCCTAGACACACCCTCTGTATACTGGTCATCATATAGTTCCTCTGTCTGACTCTCCCATTCTCTCCCATCTTTGCCTCCCTCCTGCCCTCCTTGGCCTCTGCTAACACTTGCTCTCTGTTTCTATGGGCTCACCATGTTTAGATTCCACATATGTTCGGAGTGATGGGTAATTTGTGTTTCTGTGCAGTTTCTTTCACTTCTCAGGTCAGGTCAGTGTGTGTTGCTGTAAATGACAGATTCCCATCCTTTTAATGAATGAGCAGATACGTGTTTCCCACAGAGCACTGCTGTCACTCTATTCCATAAAGCTTTGGTCTATTGGGTTCTCATTTTTGCTCATCATAAAGTGATTTCCCTTTTATTGCTTCTTTACTTAGTGGTGTTTGGGATCCAGCCCAGGAACTTCACACACTAAGCAAGTCCTCTTCCACCGAACTGCATCCCAGCTTTCGTGTTGCTTATTTCTTTTTTATAAAAATATTTTATTATTTTTATTTTATGGGTATGAGTGTTATGTCTGCATGTGTGTAAATGCACCCATGCTGTACAGTGCCCACGGAGGTCAGAAGAGGGCGTTGGATTCCCTTGGAACTGGAGTAACAGACAGTTGTTAGCCACCTTGAGGGTGCTGGAAATCGAACCTGGGTCCTCTGCAAGAGCAGCCAATGTTCTTAACTGCTGAGCCACGTCTACAATCCCCTCTTGCTTAGTTCTCATTTCATTTCACTGTGACTAGGAGGCATAGTTCATGGCATTTGTGCTCCTTAAAGTTTATTGAGGTTTTAAGGGGCAGTACCTATCCTGGGTAATGTTCCACATGCACTTGAGAAAAATGTATATTTTGTTGTTGGATGGAGTATTCTGCAGACTCTGTGGGTTCGATCTGGTTTCAAGTAGTTTCAAGTTTTCTGTTTCTTTAGTGGTCTGCCTTGTTCTATTTGTTACTGAAAATTCCATCACTATTGTTGAACTGTTTAGAGCACCCTTCGTTTCTATCAGTTTTTATTTCATATATTTGGTGCTCTGCTATTAGGTGCATCAGTGTTTGTGAATTTTATACTTAATATAACTTTCCTCTCACTTTACATATTTTAGGCTTTAATTTTTTCACTGTTCATGTGGTGTGTGTGTGTGTGTGTGTGTGTGTGTGTGTGTGCTGTTTATGTGTGTGTGTGTGTGCACGTGCCTTTTTATGGAGATTTAAGAGGAGTTCTTTCATCACAAGCCAGACAGTGGTATTACAAGTTGAAGGCCTCATTTAAAAATTTTAATATATGAAAAAGGTGATTTAGTTCACAAATCTACAGATGATCAAGATTAAGGGCAGCAAAACACTGAGGCTGTGGAACAAAATATATCATGCTGTTGTCCAAATGGAAGATCTACTTAATGGCTATTATTTTATGACACATAGGAAACCCTGCCTCTTCAATTGCTGAAATTGTCTGAAATCATTGAACAATAATCTTAAAAATCTTTGAAACTTCTAAAAGAATTGTGTGCAGTGTTGTCTAAATAATGACATCTTTTGAGGGTTAATTCAAAGAATCATATTAATCATAACAATTCTCATAGGAACAACTGAGGGAGATCCATTTTGGGACACCATTCGGGACAAGCTCCTGGGCAAGCCATCTGAAGAAATCATAGAATGTCATAAACCAAAGCCAATCCTACTTCACACTGGAGAGGTGAGGCCTTAGGAAAATTATAATGAAATCAGTGTATCATCATTTCTAATTTGTGAACTACCCTGTAATGAATGGTCACGATCTACTGACATAGATCTTATTTGGATATTCTCACATAAATTATTATTGTTGTTCTTTTGTGTGTATGATGTGTGCATAGAGGTCAGAGGACAACTTTCTGGAGTTGGTTCTCTTTTTCAACTTTATGTGGGTTCCAGGGATTGAACTCAAGTTTTCAGACTTGGAGGCTAGCGCTCTACCTGATGAGCCATCTCAGCCAGCCTGCCACATTCAACTTTAATGTTAAACATTTGAATGTCAGAAGTCCAACTCTAATTATTAGAGATTATGACTATGAAATATACGAACTTAACGAAGTTATGATGAATGAGACCATTGGAATAATGGGAAAGGAAGAATAAGATTCGCATATATTTTAGCAGGCTCCGTGATGGCATTCTGAGAACTCATTTTCTCTCCCTTCCTCCCTTCCTTCCTTCCTTCCTTCCTTCCTTCCTTCCTTCCTTCCTTCCTTTCTTTCTTTTAAGACACTGTTTCACTATGCAGCACTGGCTGGCCTGGAACACACTATGTAGACCAGACTAGCCTTCAACTCACAGAGAACTGCCTGTCTCTGCCTCTCAACTGCTGGGATTAAAGGCTTGTACCACAAGGCCCTGCTCTAAGAAAAAAAAAATCTTTATAGAAGAAAACATCTAGGTCATAAATACACATACACACACACACACACATGTCAATTCATGTGTTAATTCTTTCACAATTTAGGCAGCATTACTTATTTATTTATATTTGCATTTATTTTATGTATATGAGCATGTGGGGGCATGTGCATCTACGTGTGTGTGTGCATGTACGTGTGAGCATGTAGAGGCCAGAGGTCAACCTTGGATGTTATTCCTTTGCATCAATACACCTTGCTTTTCGAGATGGAGTCTCTCATTGGGATCTGGGGCTTACCAATTAGGCTGTAATGGTTGCCTAGTAAACCTCAGGGATCCAGTTCTGGGATTGCAAGCTCCTGCCACCATGCCTGGCCTTTTACATGGGTACTTCAGATCCAACTCAGGTCCCTCATGCTTGTGTGGCAAGCACTTTACCATTGAGTGATCTTCCCAGCCCTTAGCAGCATTATTAAGTAAAGCAATTATCTTTAATGGTCTCTCAGAACATATATATATATAAAATTTTTATTTTTGTGAATTTCATTTTTTTACATTTTAAATGTTAAAAGATCATTCAACTATTTATAGAATCATGATTGCTGAAGTATAAATATTTTAAAAATGGATTTTTCTAAAATTGTATTAAAATTCTTTGGGAAAAAGAAGAAAGGTAAGAATTGAAAGATAGTTTGCACTAATTTAAATATAGGAAAAGATAGATTCTGTTGGAGAAACAGGATGACAGGCAAGTCTTTGGATTTCTAAACTTAAAGTTCTACCAGAGTAAAATGAGAAATTATTACATTAAAGTATTCCATATGGCATTCTTTATTCATCAAGCAGAAGATAACGAGAATCACTCACACTGTCTCTGCTGGAACTCTTGTTATTCATTGCAATAGTCATAGCTGTTTGGAGGAACAGAACTGATAGAATGTGTGTGTGTGTGTGTGTGTGTGTGTGTGTGGTCTTCTGCAGTATGGTTCATATAGGCCAGGAGGTTCCTATAGCTGCTGGTCTTCAGTCTAAGTTGGAAGCCCAAATGTCAGTGAAGGAATGCCACAGCAACAGGGTAGATACAAACTTGCCAGGATTAGTGAAGGCATGGAGGCAAAACCCAAACCTTCCTTCTTCCATGTCCTTTTGTCTGGATTGCCATAAAAAGGTGCCACCCACATTTAAGGAGGGTCTTCCTGCTTCAAATAATATGATCAAGAAAGTCCTTCACAGGAGTGCCCAATGGTTTGTATTTTTAAAATTGATTCTGGATCTAGTCAAGTTGACAACCAATACTAGCTATCACATTCCATAGTGACAAATCTACCAAAGCTTCACTGATAAGTTCAGGCAATATAGCAGAGACTCGCATAATATGACCAGGATATAAAACCCACACAGCATATTTAATATTATATTATGAATTAGAAATGAATCCTATAATATGGTAAAAAACAAAACTAGCTTTAAACATTTGCAGTTGTTATTGAAGAAACAATGTGACTGTTGACTATAGAAAGAATAATTTATACCTAACACAGTTTTCTTATTTTGGGGTCTTAGCTGACAAAACCTCATCCCTGGCACCCAGATATAGTTGATGTTCAGATTGCCACTCTTGGGTCATTGGCCATAACTGCTATCCCTGGGGAGTTTACGTAAGTTCTTTTAAAACAAGTTTCATAATCCAAAACTGTGTTTTATTGGAATTAATTCTATTGTTATTACTTTATTTATTTATTATTTCGTCTATGCATGCATGTGTTGGCATGTGTGTGGAATCAGAGGACCGCTTGCTGGGGTTGGTTCTTTCCACTATGCGAATCCTGGGGATCACATCAGGTCATCAGACTTGGTGGCAAGCACTTTAATCCACTGAGCCATCTCACTAGCCCTGGAATTAATTCTTAGGGGAAGACAATTTTCTGTTGATTTCTTAGTATCCTACTGTACCAGGTTTGGCAACAGTAACAAATATTTTCCCTCTTTTGCTGAGGCTTCTGAAGAATAAATCTCTCTCTGCCTATTATCTATGGAAAATATAAGACAAGAATAAAAAAAAAACCTCACAAAATTTCCATCCTAAGGTAAAAGGTTGCAGTGGATTATGTTAGTACACAGACATGAAATAATATTAAAATACAGGCACTTGAAGTGATCAGTTTAGATGTTAAAAACGCAGAAGAATGCTTTAAGCCCAAATCTCATACAATCTTTCCTATCTCGTTAAGGGGCAATTTTTTGGCATCATTCCTGAATTTTCTTTTTTTCTGGCTTCCAGTCATTCTGTACATCCAGCAAATTCTGTATATTCTTTCCAACACAGTCTACCAATTCCCCTGCTGGCCACCACTACCATTCATTCAGATTATTTCAATAACCTCCTGTTTGATCTGCTGGGTGCCTGTGTAGTCCTCTGTAGTCCTCTCTCCACACAGCAGCCAGGTGAACACTTTTAAAACATGAATTATATCATGCTACCCCTTTGTTCAAATCCTCTGGTCCTTTTCCATCATAACAGGTAAACCCTCAGATTCTTACAGTTTCCTTCAAGTTCCTACATTATCTGTTTCTCAACAAGCTGTCTGATGTGAGTTGTTCCCACTTTGGCTCTTGCTCACTTCTGCTTAAGACACCTTGCTTCATGTCAAGGTATTCTGTATAGTGGGAACTACACATGCACTAGCTAGACTCACCAAGGATGATCTTGACTCAGGGACCTTGAACATGTAGTTCCTTCTGCATGAACACATCCTCTCCAGTTGTTTCTCATGGCCAAGTCTCTTGCTTTGGGTCTTTTTAATCCTTTGCTCCAGCCTCTGATAGAGATGCAGTCCTTCTTACACTACATAAAGTCATCTTTGCCAACAACTACCAACTCCTGCCACTATCATACCAGCTCCACAATCACCGGGACTACCCACACCTGTTCCTGTCACCATTCCTCTCCTCTCCACAGTGCTTGTTGTCAGCTCAGCTCATTATCAGATCTGAAACTGGGCCTGGTAAGCAGCAAGTACTCAGGGTTTTATTGAAGTGTTAAATATAAAATGCAATAGCACATTCTTTGTAGGCAGGACAAATAGTGAACTTTGTGATTCAGTTCTCACTAACATAGGATATGATGGACATATCATGTTGAACCTATGAATAGACAATGGTGTTTTCAATTTTTGTGGTGTCTGGGATTGAGCCCAGGGCCTGGCACCTATAAGGAAAGTGCTCTGCCATTGAGCTATACTCCCATTCCTGATGGTCATCTTTTCTCCCTAATATCATTTCCTTCCTTTAATCAAATTGTTTTCAGTTTAGGATTTGTTTTGAAGATAGTATAGTCAACCAAAAAGCTCAACTTTTTACATCATTTTCCTACAGTACTATCATGTGATAGCCAGGCTAAATTTGGGGGGCATTTACCTCAAGTCTTTCTGGATATTTGGCATACATTCTAAATACGAAGACATTTACATAATTCTGTTTTCTTGACTTAGAACCATGGCTGGACGAAGATTTCGAGAGAGAGTTAAAGAAGTAAGTTAAATATGAAATGAAGACCTACACATTCATATTTGGTGGAGAGAGAAAAGTTCCTTGTCCCTATTAAACTATTATTTCTTAAAATGATTGTCTCTTTTTATTTATTTATTATTTATTTTTTAGAAGAAACATTTCATTACAGCTTTAACATACTCAAAAACAATTTCCAGGGCAAAGATACATCTCTTTCAAAAGTGGCTATAAAATTTTTAGGTTCACAGTTGAATTAATGCAGTTATACAATATTGAGCTCAGTATAAACCCTGTAAGACATAAAATTGAATGAGTTTTTAACCTTTAAAAAATATCCCCATTTCATTTTAAAATATAGTTTCTTACAGAAGTATTCATTGTTTTTGTTAATAACACTTAGACGTTGGTGCATGTGTCTCTAATCTGTATGTATCTGATTATTACTAGTCATGGTTGGTTGCACTCTCATTTCCTGAAATTAGTAGATAGGGTATATATGAAATATTGAGGTATAAAATCCGATTTAGAAATATAAGGGAATTATCAGTTTAAATATTTTGGTATTTATGTTTAGATATTTAAAAATTGATAAAGGTTGTAAATATTAAATAGTAAGTTATCCCTGGAGAGTACTTACTTAACATCTTAAAACTGTATTGATAGTCTAAATAAAACAAAGATGATTTTCTTCATACTCAAGAAGTATTGTAAAATGACATATGAACAAATTTCCTGTTATTTGAAGCTAGAAACACCTATTTGGGTTAGATAATGTGGACTCATAATTTTTTTTTTGTCTTTTTGAGGCAGGGTCTCCCTGTAGCCCCAGCTGTCCTGGAACTCACTATGTAGACCAGGCTGGCCTCGAACTCACAAAGATCTGCCTGCCTCTGCCTCCCAAGTGCTGGGATTAAAGGCATACACCACCATGCCCATATTTTTTTAGATAATTATTTAAAAACATTTTATTTTAGTAATGAGTCTATATCTGCCAATGTGATCATTTAAGATATTCTTAGATCCATTGACTTGTCCATTTGTAATGGGAATGTCTAACTTTTCATTAAGGACTCTGACATCTCTACATTCCTTGTTGTTTTTGATCACGGGGAAGATTTTCTTTGAGAGCTACATCTTATATTTTCAATTAACGGGCTTTGCACCTTAAATATAACTGAGATAATAACTTTAGGAGAAAGTAATTACTCTGATAACTTTTTCAACTTTTCCCTTCTAGGAATTTGCATCTTCTGGGATGAAGGACATGACCATTGTTATTGCAGGTCTAAGTAATGTTTACACACATTACATTACGACTTATGAAGAATACCAGGTAAAATAAGAAGTTTATATCATTCTTAGTTCAAGGCCATTGCATTAAACAGACTTTCTGGACTTCTTCAGTCATGTTTCTGAGAGGCGATTTTGTTTAGGGGGAATTTGTATTTGGTTTGAAGTTTATGACTTCCAAGAACATGACAGCTTTATAGTCTCTCTGACTTCCATTTCCATAAAATATTTATTTGTCAGGGGCATTGGTTATAAACCTAGTGTGGCATGCAAATATCTGCCCATAATGCATCTGGTACCTTAAGCAGCTGCAGAACCAGCAATTTGCTATTTATTGAATACACTAGCTAAGTACTTTGCAAGTGTAAGTAATCCTTGCAGTACATCCTGAAAGAGTATGTTTCTGTATCCATAATATGCATTCAAAATCCCAGGGTAAGGGAGCTGGTGACTGTAATTTCTTCTTTATAAATAGATCATAAAGCAGAACAATTACTTTTAAATATTAGTTAAACATGAAAATAGCCAAGACTCAGTTCATGATTTCTAATAGATCTGCTGACAGCCCATACAGAGGAACAGGGTCGCCCCTTGGCAAATACTTAGGGATACAGTGGATTATGTGCTCCCCTCTGTTTGCTTTACTGAAGGTTCCTAACTTCTAAGAAATACTGTTTGTTAGTCAGCTTTTCATCACTACAACAACTGCTTGAGGCAATAGCTTATAAAGAGAAGAAGCCAATGTTATCTTACCGTTTTGGAGGCTTTGGTCCTTGATGAGGTGGACCCACTGGTTTTGACAGTATGTTGGGGATGTTGGACAGAAATAGCAGGAGTCTGTAGATAGTGGAACCATACCTCATAGTCAAGAAGCTCAATGAAGAAAGAGAAGGGGCCTGGTATTTACTGTCCCCTTCCAAGATATGCCTCCATGACCAGAAGACCTCCTCTAAGGCTATACCTCTTAAGGCTCCCATGAACTCTGGAGAGCACTTTGCTTAGAACAAACACTACCACATGGAACTTTGGGAGTACATTCCAGGTCCAAATGATAGTATTGTTGTATAAGGGTTCTTAGCTTAGGAGAAATGATGTAGGAACAATTATATATTGTTCCCTTTTCTCTATTAGCATTTCCTTCAACAAGCAACAACAGTATTAACAGCACCTCGGACTCTGTCACCAGCAGAACCACAGATATTTTTCGTATGACACAATTATTGTAGACCTGGAAATATCTTTTATTCTGATTTTTATGCTAAAATCACAGAAGTTACTAGAGTATTTCTTTATTCTATTTTCTCATTGCATAATAAATAAGCACCTATTACTACATCATGAAATAGGTTAGCATAGGTTGACAGATGTGTTTCAGTTTAATTCATTTTATCAGTCTCAAATATTTTGTTTCATACACTTAGAACCATTGTTCTGAGAGGCATCTACAGGTCTCAATAAACAGCCAAAAATGTGCCTGGCACAAACAGAGTTAAGAATCCCTACTAGTTCGTTCCTCAGCTAGCCTTGTGCTTTTGAAAGTTTACTATTAAGTCATTAACTGCTGTCTTGTGACAGATACTTTTGCTAGTCAGTTTCTGGGGCAGACCCATGGAAAGAACCTGTTCCTGAACTAGTAAAGAGGGAGGAAAGCAGATGGCTGTCCTTCAGTGAGAGGCATGCACTAGATGAGTGGTGAAGATACGGGCTGGCAGACATTTGTCTGAGTTCTTGACAATGAGTGAACGTTATTCAAGCAAGTAAGGGATGTGTTCTCTACAGAGGGGATCAAGGATAAAGATAAAAGTCCAGAGGGTAGACACAGCACAGTAACCAGCCATAATGAGTTGAGGACTGTGGAGTGTGATGATTGTGATGGTGAAGTGAAGGATAGAGTGAGAGGCAGGGTGAGAGGAGGGGAGAATCCTTTGTGCAGAGAAATAGAGTGCTGATTCAGGGAGGAAGGTTTTGGGGAGAGTGCTTTGATTCACTCTGTGATTTAGAAAGGTCACTTGAATGGCAGTGTAGGCATGTGTAGAGACATACTGATTACAAAGCTGTAGATAAAATCTGGGTGAGAGATGATGGCTTGCCATGCATGAGGAGAGGAAAACAGACAACCTCAAGAGATCTTTAAGGAGACAGAATGACAGGGTTTTCAGGCTTACAGAATGTAGGATGAGGGAGAAAGAGGAGTCTGATGTCCACCAGCCGATCCCTACACATGGAGCTGAAAGTGTGGCATGCAGCATTCTGCAGGGAAAGCTGGTGTGTCTAGGGTGTTGAGTGCTCTTTTACAGCTGGGTCTTTGAGGTTCATCTGGAATAATCAAAGGAGAAGAGCTCATTTGGGAATGCATTTTATAACTGGGTTAGATGGGTTAGAAGTCCTTCCACACTAGTAGCTTACTTATCTAGAAATATTAAGTAGGATTCTTTGCCTCTTCATTTTCTTCCAGATGGGGACAGTCATTTATATTGGAAATATAAATGGGGAAAATATTTTATATTGGAAAAACTTAAAATGGACATGGGCTTAGGACATAGCACCTTCATTCAGTTTAACAGGAGGAGCAGTCTAAATGGCATAAACAAAGGGAACTTACTGTCTTTCACAAGTAGCTGATGGAGCTATTCACTTTGACTGGTAAATGGAAATTCTCACCCTCTATTTTCACCGAATAGAAAATTTAGTATTCATCCAATACTGAATATTGTGATGGTAGTAAGTAATGTAAGATGTCCAAACATCACCATAACTGAAAATGCTCTACTTCAGTAAATGAACGGACATGGGCAGAGCTGTCTCTACTTCTTGCTTTTCCTGCAGGCTCAGCGCTATGAAGCAGCATCTACAATTTATGGGCCACACTCTCTGTCTGCTTATATCCAGCTTTTCGGAACCCTTGCTAAGGCAATAGCTACGGTAATCAAATTGTGTGTGTGTGTCTATTAGTGTGTGTGTGTGTGTGTGTGTGTGTGTGTATTATGTTTGCCTCAGGTGAGGAGGTACAGAAGCAAGAAATAACCTTAGATACACATGTTCAATTTCTTTGACTATCATTAAGAAAATAATTGAAACTTTACTAATAGTAAAATTCAGTTTAAGTCAATATCATTTACTGGTGGCAGTCTTTTTCATATATATTCATATATATTTTCATATATATATTTGAAGTGAGGTGGTATAATTTTTATCTATGCTTTTAGATGACCAAAAGTTCTTGAAGTGACCAGGCTTACTGTAATTTTTGTTCTTTCATGCTTGCCAGATTCTCTCCTCCCACTCAGAGTTGAGCATACCATACATGTACAGGATACCTAAGATGTTTATTTTCTTCATTAGAGCGTCTCTGAAACTGGCATGCATCTTCCAATCAGAAGAGTCTTAAGTGGCAATTAGTAGCATTTTTAGTTTCATAAGTTGTCACAATGAATGGAGGCTTAGATTTCAGAAATACAGCATTACTTTGGAATATACACATGTGTGTTCCTGAAATATATACACCTGAACAAGCATTTCTGATCTAAAGTTCTCTAGCTTTGAAAACATTGCCTTAAGGACACGGTTTTTATACAGCTGCAATTGTGGTATAGACAGTTTACTCACAAGTAAAATATAGAGCTTAAAATAATAAACAGGTTCATATAATAATAGATAAGCCTTGGTAAAAGCTGTGAAATTATGGCATAGTACGTACAATAAAGCCTGGTAAAAAAGAGCTTGGCTATATTGGATTGAAACATGAAATTGCTTCCTGAAGATCAGTTTAGGCAATTTCATATACCTCCACCGTGAGTTGCTGATTATATTTGAAATTTCAATATAATCTGTTAATTGAATATATTTTGATCACTTGTTATTTTTTAAAAGTATTCTTTTCAGTTTTAGACCTGTTACTTTTTTGAACTTTTTTTTCAATCCTAAGAGCTATGAGTACCTGTGGAACATTCAGGTTATCTAGAACAGTATAAACCTACATCATCCCTCTAGTGTCCGTAGCTTCTACTGCAGGCAGAGCTTCATGGTTTTTCCTGCAGAAATGTCTTGAGGTTTTATAGGGGCATTTCATGAAGAAAATGCAGTTCATGTGTGGAAAGTTGTTTCATGGTCTATATGACAGTTGCTTGCTGTAAGACTGACTGTATGATTTTGGAAACAACTGAGTATCTTTAACCCTGTCTTCCTGCTTGAAGAATTAGAGTGATGATACATATCCATACCATGTGTGGTTGTAAACACTGAACATGCAATGATAGGATCAAAGAACATTAAATGTCTCAAGGGCTGTTTAAAATTAGGATTCATGTTTTGATGCCTCTATTAAAGTTGGTGAATCTTGTGGAAAAGAGATTAAATCAATCAGGATGGAGGTTGATCTTAATTTTAAGATGTATTTATCATATTATTTATCACAGATAAGGTCCAGGAAAGAATCTTCATAAGTGACTTAGGGAGAAAGAACCTCCACACTTCGAGGCAGGCACGATGGCACTTGCCTGTAATTTTAGCACTTGAGCCACTGAGGCAGGAGGATCGTGAGTTCCAGGTCAACCTGAGGTATAGCAAGCTCTAGGAAGCTGAAATTGCATAGTAAGACTTATGTCAGCTGAGGCAGGAGGATCGTGAGTTCCAGGTCAACCTGAGGTATAGCAAGCTCTGAAATTGCATAGTAAGACTTATGTCAAAAAACCAAACAATGACAACAAAAACATCTTAAAGATTTCAATGGAGAAAAGCAGTCAACAGCTCTACCAAGTTGTAGAGGTTATGAACCACAACAGTGAACAGCCTAGCAAGATATTCCCAATGGTACAAAAGTGGCACTCTTGTCTTGGGGGTAACCAATAGCTGTCTAATTAGACTTAAGTTCTATTCAATTGGAGGGAATTAATGCCTGGTACTGTAAACCTAGCCAAATACTCATGACTGGAGGGTTCATAGACCCCAGTGAGAGCCTACCTCCACCATTTCTCTAAACCAACGCAGTTTCTAACTGTATTCTAAAAACATCCTTAAACCTACAAATAAGTGCAGTTCTACCATTCATCAAAGGAGCTTCATTGTGCAATAGATGGAGATGATTATAACTGTTCTAAATTCAGAGAATCAGTGACCCTGGGTGCCCAGTTCCAATTTGATACATCTACAGTGAAACCTCTACACCTAAGTGAGGTTCAGGGAACATACTGGAAGAGGGAGGTGGAAAGATTTCAGGAGGCAGAAGATCAGGACACCTGCTGCTAGATAGTGTTTTCCAGACATGATGGGGAAGCTGCATCCATGAAATCTCAACAGTATAATTGCCTAGATAAGACTAGAATAATGACAACATCAGTTGACATGCCAGTGTGGATAGGGGACATTTTATAAGGTCGCACCTCTAAATGAAGAGCTATCGGCAATTAATGGCTGTTGAGAGAGGAAGAATCAGTTTTCTTCAGCGATGAGCTCCCTGAGAAGTTATCCAATCCCAAGTAGTCAGTAAACACATATACATACTACCACCAAATGGACTCAGTAGATTGTTTATACTCATGCATATGTGTATATTTGTAACAATAATAATTAAAGAAGAGGTCAGAATATTGAGAGGGAGTGGGAGGAACATTAAAGGTGATGGAGGGGAGGAAAAAAGGGGAGAAGAAGAATGAATTAAATACAATACCAGTGTAAGACATTCTCAAAAATTTTTAATGAAAACATCTTAGGGGCTGGAAGGATAGTTCAGTCAGTAAAATACTTGCCTTGCAAATATGATGACCTGAGTTTGATTCTCTGCATGTAAAGGCTGGCCTCTGTAGTGCATCCCTGTAATCCTCCTACTAGGAAGATGGAGACAGGAGGATCCCTGGGGCTTACTGGCCAGCCAGTCTAGCATAATCAGCAAGCTTCAGGTTCAATGAGATCCTTTCTCAATAACCAAGGTGGATGGTGCCTGAGTAGGATTGATACTCCATGTTTACTTATGGCCCTTATGGCCTCCATACACAGGTGCAATATGTGCACCAGGACACACATATACTGAGAGAGAGAGAGGAGAGATAGATAGATAGAGAGAGAGAGAAAAAAAAAACTCAATACTAAAAGATTTAAGCATAATTGCAGTATCATGTTGTGAAAGCATGTCTATATGGGTCCCTACCTTGTGTCACACAGTGAGAAATGGCCTTCCAGAATCTAATCAGAAAAGTATGCTTCTAAGCTTACTCTTGGAGCCCTTGGTTACACCATCCAGGGGAACACAGGTACTGCCCTCAACAAAAACTTTTTTCTAATGACAAGTCTAAATTATGAACATTTAAGCTCACCTTTTAACAAGGTTGCCTTTACATTTTTGTTAAATATTATTAGCTCTCAAATACTGTATTGGAGTCTGTGTATGTAGGTGTCTGTGTACTTCCTTTAATGAAGGCTTTTTTGGGGATGTGGGTGTGGGGGAAAGTTCATTGAATCTCCATTGTGTCTTCCTTAAGCAAATGCTCTCTGTTTCAGGACACAGTAGCCAACATGAGCAGTGGTCCAGAGCCTCCATTTTTCAAACAACTGATAATCCCATTTATTCCTAATATTGCGGATAGACCACCAATAGGCAAAAGTTTTGGAGAGGTCCTGCAGCCAGCAAAACCTGAATATGGAGTGGTAAGACTCATAGAAAAGTGTAAAATATTTCATAGACTTTCTTTGGGAGGTGAAAGGAACGATGCTGCTTAATGTTATCCCCTGCTTCTAATCACCGTAGGCCAGCTTCAGCAACGAAAATGTTGACACTGGTTCTCATCTCCAGAGAGGCTCAGCAAAAGTGACGAGAATGGGGAATATCGATTTACCTATCCCCCGGGGTTAATAATGTAAAACTGAATTTCTGACAAATTATTCTTCTTATTTAATGGATGGTCAAAGAATCATGTGCAGGAGCAGAGCCATTTTGTCTTTTAGGTCAAAGTAGCAAAACCACATAAAAGTGAGGCAGGATCTGCACCATTGTACTCTGTTGATTTTGTATTCTGCAACCTTGCTAAATAATTATCAGTTCTGGTAGGTAATTTTCTCTTATTCTCTTTTTGGTATAAATTCTTTAGGAGTTTCTACATATATTATGGCACTCAGCAAATAAAATTCCTTTCTAGGTTTCTTTCCTTTTTTAATTGGAATTGTCAACATTTATTGAATGACCTAGAACCTGCAGTACAATGTAGTGTTAGTTTCTCACTGCTGTGATAAACACCCTAGAAAGCAACTTAAAGGAGTGTATGAGATACTTTTCTCACTGTTGTAACAGAGTATATGACAATAAAACCCAAGGAATGGTTTCCTTTTGCTCATGGTTCAAGGGTGCAATCTATTATGGTAGGGAAGGCGTGGGAGGCAGGTGGTCACATTGCATCACATTCCAGAAGCAGAGAGAGGTGGGTGTATGCTGGTGCTCCACTGGCTTTTTCCTTTTTTAAAAGTCCAGTCCCATACCTCATAAGATGGTGCACCCCCCCACCCCCCATTCAGGATGAATCTTCCATCTTAAACCGCTCTGGAAATACCTTCATAAAGACTCTTAGAGATATCTTTTCTAGGTAATTCTAGCCCAACAAGTTGATAGTGAATATTAACCATCATGGAGAGGATTTATTTTAGCTCATGGTTTCAGAGGTTTCAAGCCATGGTCACTTGGCTCCATTGATTCTTGGTGAGGTAGGACATCATGGAGGAAGGATGTGGCAGTCACCTTGTGGTGGCTGGGAAGCAGAGAGAAAGACAGGGCGGTTCGATGGACAGAATCCATCCTTTGAAGCAAGTCCTAGTGACTCGCTTCCTTTAACTGGGTCCCACTCTAATAGTTCATTCAATATAAACTAATCAATGGATGAACCCATCGGTGAAGTTGGACCCCTTATAATTTCATCAGTTCTGTGCTACCACTTGAATCCCATCCTTCACTGCAGGAGCCCTTTGGAAGTACCCTAACAACTATGGAATAGGATTTGTGAGACTGGGTTGCCTTGTGTTGTTTTCATCTTAGGAAAAGAGTATTCAGCACTTCCCCATTTAATATAATCGCTTATTTTTGAGACTTTGGCAGACAGCTTTAACCAGATCAAGACAGTGTTCTATTATACTTAGTATATCAAGAGGCTTTCCCTGAAGTGGGGATTAGATTTTTACAAGTGTTTTCTGTGTTACTGAATTAACCATGTGACTTTCATTTTTTTAGTCTATTAATAAGGCATTTTACATTAATTGGTTTTCAGATATTAAATCTCTTTGGTCATGGTGGATAAAGCTTTTCTTACGTATTAAGTCTGCTGTGCTAATATATTGCTCTGAAGTTTAAGACCCATGCCCATGAAGGCTATTTGTACTTTTTATGTCATCTTAGCCTCTGGTATGATGATTATATAAAATGAATTGGGAAGTGCTTCTTACATTTTCTGAAAAGCTATGCAAAGGATATGAACCATATCTTCTTTAGCTATTATTTTCTCAGTTATATCTCCAAAGTATATGGGCTTAGACTTTTCCTTTTGGTCAACTTTAAATTAAAATTTTCAGTTCACATATAGAATAATGGGTTTCATTAGGGCATTTTCATATATATATATGTATCTCATAGTGCTTTGTCCACATTTACCCTTCCTATTATCTTTCCTTGTCCTCCCTCCTGCTGGTCTCCTCCCTCTCATCAAAAGGTTCCCCTTCTGTTTTTACCTCCTCTATGTAGAGATAGTCTGCATAGGAGGCAAAATATGCTATATTTGTTTTTAACCCACCGCTCTCTCTTGTACCCCTGCCCCTCCCTTTAGGCGTATCCCTTTCCTCACATAGTTTGTGTCCTAATTTCAGGTCATGATATTATATATTTGTTTGAATATCCAGATTCTACGCATGGGAGATGATATTTGTATTTTTCCCATTTTTAAATTAATTTTTGCTTACTATACAAAGAAATGGGTTTCATCGTAACTTTTTATAAATATATGTCATTCTACTTTGTTCATATTTTCTTGCCTGCTGCCCACCCCTAAGTCTCCTCAAACTTTCTGATTCTGATAAGAGCTGAGATAAGATCATGATCCTTGACTTGTCTTACTGATTTCCTATTTGAGGTTGTGACTTTATTGTTAGGCTAATGTGTCTCTGTTAAGTGTCTTGGGAGTCATATTGCAGTGTCCCACAACAGCTACAATCACAACCAAGTTTATGCAGTAAAGTATTCATGAGATAGAACACCCAATCTGGGGCTGGAGTGAAGACCAAAGATTCTGTGGCTTGCAATTAAACAGAGTTCAGACAAAGCCAGAGCCAGGTAATGGTTCTTATTGCTTTCTTTGTTGTAGAAACTTTGTTTTTTGTAAATTAAATTTTTGTCAGCATACAAAGAAGTAGATTTCATGGTGACATTTTAAGAAGTACATAAACTTCTTCTTTGCTTCCTTAGCCACCACGATGCCCTTGCCACCCCCCCATGTCTCCCTAGTGCTAAGCCCTTCTTCCCTAGTGCTAAGCTAAGAGTTCCCATTCTGCTTTGACCATGTATGTATTCATTAAGTAAGTCCCCGCTTCACTCCCCCATTCCTTCAGACCTCCTTCTCTCTTCTCGTAATCCCCATTCTATGTCATATACAAATATCTGTGCATACACATATATTTAAAGCCTCATAATTTCCTTTCTGCTTTCATGTCTCATATATATATATAAAATATTGATATTTGTCTTTGTGATTTTGGCTTATTTTGTTTAGCGTAGTGACTCCAGTTCCATCAATTTTCCTGCAAATGTCATAACTTCTCTTTTGTAACTGAATAAAACTCAGCTGTGCTACTTTTTCTTTATTCATTCATCTGCTGGTGGACATGTAGAATGGTTCTGTATCTTGGCTGTTGTGAACAGTGCAGCAGTAAACATGGTTATGAAAGTATTCCTGTAGTACGCTGGGGATGTATATACACAGAGGTAAAGTTGGATCATATTATAGTTCTAGTTTTAGTTTTTGAACAGCCTCAACACTGATATTCATAGTGGCTGCATAGTGTAATGTTGAACAGTTTTTCAGATATTACTAGGCCATTGTATTGCTTCCTTTGAGAACATTCTCTTTATCTACATTTTAATAGAATTTTTATGATTTTCATACACTAGAATTTGGTGGTATTCAGATCACCTCACCTATTCCCACCTCCCCCATGGCCTCCTGCCCTACTTAAGGTACTCTATTACACACACACACACACACACACACACACACACACACACACACACAGCCTATATTATCTAATTTGTGCGGGTCCATCCACTGGAGCCTGGGTAATCTACCAATAGTCCTATGATTGAAAGAAACTGTCTCTGCCCCTCCCAGCAGCCATCTGTTGTCACAGTTTCCTTAGGTGGGGTTGTAGTTTCTTACCCCCTTCCTCATGTCTATACTGGGACTTTTTTCTGGTTTGAGCTTGCATGGGACTTGTGCATGCTATCACTGTTCATAGGAATATCTGGCTAGCTGTCTGGAAAACTGTTTCCTTGTGGTCCTCCACCACTTTTGGCCTTAGAATCTTCCTGTCCCCTCTTCCACAATGCTCCCTGATCCTTGAGAGCAGAAGTTTGATATAGGTGTCCTATTTTGGGACAAGTGTTCTTTCTTAAAATTTTTAGTTATTTTTATTTTGTACATGTGAGTGTTTTGCCTCCATGTATGTAAGTGCTCAACATGTGTGAAGTGCCTGTGAAGGCCAGAAGAGGGTGTTGGATCCCATGGAACTGGAGTTAGGAATGGTTGTTACCTGTCATGTGGGTGCTGGGAACCAAACCTGGGTCCTTTCCAAGAATAGCAAGTGGTCTTTAATGCTGAGCCATCTCTCAAGAACTCTTTGAGATCATTTCTATTCATGTCACCTGTCACCAGACCTAACAACCTGAATTCAATCCCCAGGACCCACACAATGCAAAGTGAGAACACATGCTTGCAAGTTGTCCTCTGGTTGCTGCATGTACACCACAAGACATGTGTGCCCACATGCACGTGTGCACAACACACACACACACACACACACACACACACACACAAATACATGAATAAAATGTAATAAAAGTAGTTTTATTTTTATATGTATTGGTATTTTGCAGGGCATATATGTATGTGTATTACATGGGCCTGGTGCCTGTGGAGGCCAGAAGGTCTTCGGATCTAGAACTGGAGTTACAAACAGTTGTGAGCTGCCATGTGGGTGCTGGGAACCAATCCCACGTCCTCCACAAGACCACAAGTGCCCTTATACTCTCCAGTGCCCTCGGACATCTTTCCAGGCCCCATAATTTTTTTGAAAAAAAAAGTAAAAATAAAATATTCTTCCATGCTTACTGGCTTTTAGGGTTGCTAAAGATAGATTTGATAATTTTTTATGTATTTGCCTTTGTAGGTAAGTTGGTATTTTTCCCTTGCAGCTTAAAATTTATTTCAAGACCTTCTCTCACTATGTAGCTCAGGCCGACCTTGAACTTTCTAGCCTCCTATCTCTAGAGTGCTAGAATTACAAGTGTATGCCAACACACTCAAGTTTCCTTAAAGCTTTTAACATTCTTTCTTTGCTGTTTATTTCTGACACCTTGAATATGTCTTGGAGAGCTTGTCTCTCATCATGTCTATATAGACTTTACTAGGAGTAGAGTAAAAGGAAAGGGGAAACATAAGGGGCCAAAGAAAATGGAGGCGTTTAGAGTGGCTGTTTTCTGTGCCCTTTCAAACAGGAGTTCACCATCTAAGTGGGAGGGTGGGTGAGCTGAAGTTGGAGTCTCTTGTCTTTCCTACTGCTTAAGCTGGTACCTGGACCAGTCATTGTTCAGATGTCTGCCAGAGCTGTCTTCCCTTTAGGAGCTAACCCTTACATACCAGGAATTTCTGCTGACTACACTTAGCTTTGCAGTCTGTTGGCTGGGTAAGTTCTCCCACAGTCCCAGGACTCCTCTGTACACTCTGAGGTGGCTAATGTTCTAGACATTGTTATCCATTGTGCTGGGGAGTCAGGGAAGCACACGGAACTCTGTGATGTGTCCAGGAGCCCGCAACACAGTTGGAGGGAGGCAGCTGTAGAAGCCAAGTATTCCACTGGGGCCTCAGAGTTCTCAGACTCTCTGTCAGTGAACCCCGTGGCAGGCAGAGGTTGGACCGGTGGACTTCGATCCCCCAGAAACTATCAGACTTGGCAGTTATTCTCAGATGATGGGGTTAGCGCCTACTTACAGAACGTAAAGCTGTCACCCACCATGGTGTATGTTACTGTGCAAGGCAAGTCTCTTGCAGTATGTTACTACGCAAAGGCAAGCCTTTGAACTCCCCACTTGTCTAGGGTAGACTGATGGCTGCAGGGGGAGTTGTAGAGAGAGGAAGGACCAAATTTATGACCCCCCATGCCCCCTACTTAAAACTCTTTTGAGCTTTCCCTGTCTGGCTACCTAGAACAGGAACTTTTCACAACTCCATATGAACTTGGGGATTTCCCTTTCCAAGGTTTTAGGAAACTCTTTCCCTGGCTATGGGAAGCTCTCCTTCATGTATGGGAAGTTGGAGTTCTCTTTCTTGTAGCTATACTTTCATGGATTTTCTCTTCCATGTCCTCGGACCTTAGGTAGGAGGTAAAAAAAAAAAAAAAATTAAGGGCTGAGGAAGCATTTTTCTTTTTTCCAGTACTGGGGTTGATGAAGAAGGCATTTTAATGTGTAATCGTGTTGAAAGCTATAGCTCTAGATCTTTATTTACATGTGAATCTACGAAAAGAAAACTCTTTGGGTCCAAGTCCTGTGCTCATTGTTGCAAAGATGTTTCCTCCAAAAGTCTTAGAAAGGAATCACTCAGTTAAGTGGATCAGAATCTACATAGACCTAGGATGCTAGAATGTATAGAAGATAATACTTCAAATCGGAGCACGGGGGATTTTCTTGTATTAGAATTAATGAAACACCATTTTTTATTTCCAGGGAGAAGTAGTTGAAGTTACATTTGTAGGTGCTAACCCAAAGAATTCGGCAGAAAACGAGGTGAGCAGCATTACCTTAAAAGTTTTAAACTGCTTGGACCCGCAGGCCCCTCTCTCCGGGTTAAGTCCATCGTGCCCTCCGAGCCTTGACTCCTTCAGCCTCATTCACCCTCCCATCTCCCCCGCCGGTTTCTCCTCCTAGCCTGAGTCCTGTCTCATTCCTTGTCATGGCTCCCCAGACACCTGGGGAACCACCACTGCTTCCTGATCCTTTGCATCCAGACCAACTAAGTTCCTTCTCCGGTCCTCAGGAGCACTGCTTCTGGGCCTGGCCCTGCCATCACCTCCCTCTACTTCCCTGGACCTGCACAACCCGCCAGCCTCTTTCCTGGACACAGGGCCTGATCTTTCCTCTTCCTGAACCTTTGCATCCAGACCAACCCAGCTCCTCAGTGCAGTCCCCAGAAGCCTTTGGGGCTGCTTCCTGCCCCCAACTTCCTTTGCATCTCTGGGTGGCACAGCCACCAGCTGCCCTAGACCAGCATCTTTCCTGGGCCTGGCTCCCAGGCCAGTCCAACCCCCAAATTCCTGAGGGCAAAATCTTTCCTAGAGGGATCCAGACATTAGGAGAAAGCCAGAGAGTATCTGACCCTCATCTGACTGGGGGCTCTGTGGGGGCTCCTGAAGATAAAAGCAATCTGGCCACCCCAATATAAAAGCAGAAGAGAGAACTGGAAGTTTAGGCCAACCAGCTTTGCATGCCCCAAAAGTAAACC